CTCCGACTGGATTCGTCTGAAAGAAGAAAGTCATATACACCTAGGATGCCTCAGGGGTGAGTAAACCGCAGCCTAATTTTCATTTTTGGGTGAACTAACCCTTTTACGGTGACGCATTGCTGCCACACACATATTTTTTTTTCCACTCAATTATGTCGTAATAACGAGATGTTTTCTCGTTAAAACGACATCTTTTTTCTCGTAATAACGAGATGTTTTCTCGTTAAAACGACATCTTTTTTCTCGTAATAACGAGATGTTTTCTCGTTAAAACGACATCTTTTTTCTCGTAATAACGAGATGTTTTCTCGTTAAAACGACATCTTTTTTCTCGTAATAACGAGATGTTTTCTCGTTAAAACGACATCTTTTTTCTCGTAATAACGAGATGTTTTCTCGTTAAAACGACATCTTTTTTCTCGTAATAACGAGATGTTTTCTCGTTAAAACGACATCTTTTTTCTCGTAATAACGAGATGTTTTCTCGTTAAAACGACATCTTTTTTCTCGTAATAACGAGATGTTTTCTCGTTAAAACGACATCTTTTTTCTCGTAATAACGAGATGTTTTCTCGTTAAAACGACATCTTTTTTCTCGTAATAACGAGATGTTTTCTCGTTAAAACGACATCTTTTTTCTCGTAATAACGAGATGTTTTCTCGTTAAAACGACATCTTTTTTCTCGTAATAACGAGATGTTTTCTCGTTAAAACGACATCTTTTTTCTCGTAATAACGAGATGTTTTCTCGTTAAAACGACATCTTTTTTCTCGTAATAACGAGATGTTTTCTCGTTAAAACGACATCTTTTTTCTCGTAATAACGAGATGTTTTCTCGTTAAAACGACATCTTTTTTCTCGTAATAACGAGATGTTTTCTCGTTAAAACGACATCTTTTTTCTCGTAATAACGAGATGTTTTCTCGTTAAAACGACATCTTTTTTCTCGTAATAACGAGATGTTTTCTCGTTAAAACGACATCTTTTTTCTCGTAATAACGAGATGTTTTCTCGTTAAAACGACATCTTTTTTCTCGTAATAACGAGATGTTTTCTCGTTAAAACGACATCTTTTTTCTCGTAATAACGAGATGTTTTCTCGTTAAAACGACATCTTTTTTCTCGTAATAACGAGATGTTTTCTCGTTAAAACGACATCTTTTTTCTCGTAATAACGAGATGTTTTCTCGTTAAAACGACATCTTTTTTCTCGTAATAACGAGATGTTTTCTCGTTAAAACGACATCTTTTTTCTCGTAATAACGAGATGTTTTCTCGTTAAAACGACATCTTTTTTCTCGTAATAACGAGATGTTTTCTCGTTAAAACGACATCTTTTTTCTCGTAATAACGAGATGTTTTCTCGTTAAAACGACATCTTTTTTCTCGTAATAACGAGATGTTTTCTCGTTAAAACGACATCTTTTTTCTCGTAATAACGAGATGTTTTCTCGTTAAAACGACATCTTTTTTCTCGTAATAACGAGATGTTTTCTCGTTAAAACGACATCTTTTTTCTCGTAATAACGAGATGTTTTCTCGTTAAAACGACATCTTTTTTCTCGTAATAACGAGATGTTTTCTCGTTAAAACGACATCTTTTTTCTCGTAATAACGAGATGTTTTCTCGTTAAAACGACATCTTTTTTCTCGTAATAACGAGATGTTTTCTCGTTAAAACGACATCTTTTTTCTCGTAATAACGAGATGTTTTCTCGTTAAAACGACATAACATCTCGTTATTACGAGAAAAAAGATGTCGTTTTAACGAGAAAACATCTCGTTATTACGAGAAAAGATGTCGTTTTAACGAAAAAAGATGTTGTTAAAACGAGAAAAGATGGCGTTTTAACGAGAAAAGATGGCGTTAAAACGACATAACATCTCGTTAATACGACATAATTGAGTGGAAAAAATAATATGTGTGTGGCAGCAATGCGTCACCGTACCCTTTAACACACAATGTGTTTATTTTGTTGAATGTACAACTAGGCTGCTTTTGATTACTGGTGAAGTAACCGCAATTATGTTGAATTTGAAAGTCTCAGTCACGTACAGTACAGCCACCCAAGAGAGGACACATAAATTATTAATTGGTTATTTTTTATAAAATGATTATTATTATTAATATTCAAAATAAGTGTTTAATTATTTTTTTGTTGAATGTACAACTAGGCCACTTGTGATTTATTTAAGGTAAGCACAATTATTTTGCATTAAAATCCAAATCAAGTATAAATGTTTTGTGTGTTTGTGCAGGTATAAGTTAGTGGAGCTGGCGTTTTATCTGACCATGGGCTTCTTTCCTGCGCTGGTGGTGACATCAATGGTGAGTCTGTGAGCTCATTTCCTGTTGAGCTCATCAACTTAATCTGATCCATGTGCTTCTAAAGGCCAAGTACTAATTAGCAGACCCCTAATTAACCTGACGATTTAAAGCTCATGTAGGAGGAGTCACTGCAGGGGATGTAAATATCAAAATTATAATGCGTTGAACAGCAACAAACGGCTGAAAATGACCTAATTACTAACCTTCAGAAGTGATGCTGTATAATGGATGTGAAGAAAACTAAATGTTTAGTCACCGTGATGTTTTATTGTGAAGCGAGAATGTTCCCTTGAACGTTTTTCCCCCTGAATGAAATCTGATCACCTTCACCTTTGACACAGTTTTTGAGTCCTCGGGCTGTTCGTGTTAACCTGTCACACCTGAAATATTCATTATCACTGTGAGTAAGACGATCTGTCAGTTGTTGTTGCTACGTAACCAACTCGCGCTTGATCTGGGATTTTCACAATTCAGAATCGGACACAACAGAGTTTGGAGACTTTGAGTCACATCAGGTGTTTCCTGTAACTGATACTCCTGATTAGAATTGATTAAAACCTTTGTTGCTACGAAGCCAATTACATGTGAATCTCAAAGCACACACACAAAAACCATATTTTTTAAAAGGAACATTAATATTTCATGAATTGAGATAATATAAAACTTGTTAATTTTTGTAGTTTTATATATAGTTTTTAAAAAAGTTTTTTAGAGTTTTTTTCTCAAATGTATAATTTTTGTAGTCCCTTGAACGTTTTTCCCCCTGAATGAAATCTGATCACCTTCACCTTTGACACAGTTTTTGAGTCCTCGGGCTGTTCGTGTTAACCTGTCACACCTGAAATATTCATTATCACTGTGAGTAAGACGATCTGTCAGTTGTTGTTGCTACGTAACCAACTCGCGCTTGATCTGGGATTTTCACAATTCAGAATCGGACACAACAGAGTTTGGAGACTTTGAGTCACATCAGGTGTTTCCTGTAACTGATACTCCTGATTAGAATTGATTAAAACCTTTGTTGCTACGAAGCCAATTACATGTGAATCTCAAAGCACACACACAAAAACCATATTTTTTAAAAGGAACATTAATATTTCATGAATTGAGATCATATAAAACTTGTTAATTTTTGTAGTTTTATATATAGTTTTTTAAAAAGTTTTTTCGAGTTTTTTTTCTCAAATGTATAATTTTTGTAGTGTAATAAGTATATTAATGTAATGTTTTTTCTTTCATGTAATCCTAGTCCTTTTTACTAATTACTGTAGAAATTTACTGTGAGAACAATTAAAAATAATATTAATGTAGAAAAAATATATATATTTTTAGGATTAGATTTCATAGGTTGTTATTTAAAAATGGTCAAATATATTTTTGTAATGTAATAACTACATTAATTGAAAACAATGTAACAAAAAATCTTAATTGTCCTAAAATGCACTTGATTTTCATAAAAAAAAATTTCTTTTGACTTTGGGGTGAAATATAATCCAGACATGGTTTGATGGGTTTTGTGAGATTCACTCTTACAAATAAAGTATACATAGTAAATACAGCACCTGTGTACAGTATGCATTATACAATACAATTAAGACTTGGGTTCAGTGTAGTAAGCAAACAGGAGTGCTTTTAGTTCAATGGTGTTTGAATTTCAAACACAACCTTTGCTTTGGGTTCATATGCTGTTGGAGTCAAAGACAGCAGCAGAACTGTGTTCATTACATATGTCACTGGCAAAAAAACAGCACGTGTCCCATGTCACAGACACTGAGGCCACCTTGTGTTTGGGAGCAGAAGTTACATTTGCTTGAAAAAAATTTAGGGGCACCAAATAAAACTCCCTGCATTCAAAGCTCAACTTTTCCATTGGCTTTTGGAGTATTGCAGAAAATAAGCTCTGTGACCAACAAAAGGTTACGATTCTTACACAGTTTTTTCATTACGATGATCTTCACAACTTTTTTTGAATTTTGAAGCCTAAGTGCGAGAAGTAAAAAGTTAAACGTAGGCCACGGACTACACCAGTCACATGACTTGAACGTCACCATCGTTAGGTGTCCAACAACTTCTAATCTTTATTTTATTTTTTTTAATTTCTTAAAGGTTTGAGTTAGGATGGTTTGCAAGAGCGTGATTAAAAACACAACAAGGCTGTAAAAGTGGACTAGTGAGTAGAGGAGTTTATCTGTTCAGGCTGTTGATGTTTAATGTTCTCAACAACCTCTGTAGTCCCATTTAGCCTCTTGTTAGTGACCACCTTTTTCAAGACAAGTAAAAGCTTTAGAATGAAATCACAAGGGCATATTATTGATGTATTTCTGTTTTAAAATAAAGCCTGACAATATCTTGAACTTAACCCGAGCTTAACCCATGTTAACCACGAACCTTATTTCAGGCATTAAATCAAAAACCCCTTCAAAAAACTCCATTGAAGTGCTAAAATGTGAACTTGTTTCAGGGTTTTCTACAAACATACTTAATTCTCTGTACTCTCTAAAACACTCTACATGCAACACCATCAAGATATTGTTAATTTACCTTTTACACATCTGCAGTATAAATACCGTTGGCTACACTCTTAAAAATAAAGGTTCTTTATAGGCATCTATGGTTCCATATAGAACTTTTAAACTCTATGGAATCTTCCCATTGATCAAAAGATTCTTTGTTGAAAAAATGTTCTTGGAAACCTTTTTTAAGAGTGTGGGACTTTACAAAAACAAGGGCAAAAAAGGGGTAAAAGCTTTACAAAAACAAGGGCATATTACTGATCTGTTTTTGTTGTAGAATAAAATATGAAAATATATTGAACTTATCCTGAACTTATCCTGAACTTATCCTGAACTTATCCTGAACTTATCCTGAACTTAACCTTTAACTTATCCTGAACTTAACCTTTAACTTAACCTTGAACTTGGCATCTATGGTTCCATGAAGAACCTTTAGCAATCTTTCCATTGCACAAAAGCTTGTTTATAGTGGAAAGATGTTTTAAAATGTTTTTCACCCTAAGAAAAAATGGTTCTATTAAGAACTGATCACTGAAAGGTTCTTTGGGGAGTCAAAAATGGTTCTTCTATGGCAGCAATGTTCCCTTTTGGAACCTTTATAGATTTTTGCCTGGTTGTCAAATGTGTAAAAACACAACATTGTTCAGTGATTTTCATGTCAGTAACTGTGTGTCGTTCTTGTTTTGATCAGAGTAACACAGACGGACTGTACGAGCTGGCGTTCGGAGGCTTGGTCTACTGCCTGGGCGTCGTCTTCTTCAGATCGGACGGTGTGATTCCGTTCGCTCACGCCATCTGGCACATATTCGTGGCTCTTGCTGCCGCCATCCACTACTACGCCATCTATGAGTACCTGTACAGCAGTCCCTCGCTGGAGGACATCAGGGATGCTTGAGCGCCACGCCTGCCTCCTCTTCCTCTTTCCTCCTCCATCACCATAACATCTCAACCGGATGCTCCAAACACCCACAGTTTAACAGTACGACCATGCAATGTTTACGGTTTTCTAACCAACTGGAATCAGTGAAGTGTGTGTGTGTGTGTGTGTGTGTGTGTGTGTGTCGCAGTCCTGAATGCACATTTGCCACAGTTGCACCAAGACGACAATGTTTGTGTGTTTTCCCCATTTTCATCAGTATTTTGTAAATATATTCCACTGGAAGCAGATGAATTGTGATTCTTTTTGATATTTAATGATTTTTCCGTGCATTCAGTCACACACACACACACTCAGTAGCAGTTTCATATCATCTGTAGTGAATTACTTTTCTTTACTCGTGCGACTTTCTGTATCAAATCTATATTTTTGCATCTCAACTCACTGGGTTTTTACTTCGTACGTGTGGCTAGTTGTTTTCTACGAAGCGCTGGTGGTTTTCTACACTCCTGGCATCTCCTTCCCCCGTGTTTCTGCTCTTTCAGCTTTTTTCTACACTTTTCTAACAGGAAAAACCACTTCTCTTTGATACTCCATTTGGATAGAAACGATGTTGACCGCTTCTCTGCACAACCAGGATTATGATGCTTTAGGATGTTTTTTTTCTCAACACCTGAACCACCTTAAAGACACACTTTCTGTCTCAATTTCAGCACAATATTCGATGGATTTTTGATTAAGAAACGTTAACCAATGACACTAGAATTATGAAGAATCTGACCAAAACGGGTCATATTTCATCCCAAAATCTTTGGAGATTTGCAGTATTGCAGTAAATTTGAAATTGCATTGCACTAGGAAAAAACTAAAGCATACTATATTTTATAATATATAATTTACATATAAATGTAAATTTTATATATATATATATACGAGTGAACATGGAGGATAATGTGTTTAATTGTCATAAATGTCACAATGCAAAAAGTGCTTCTTTTTTTTTTTTAAGCAGACTTACAAAAATATTGTATTTTTTGTTATGAAATGAGTTTGTGAAGTTACTGAAACTGCTTATTTTGAACAGAAATTAGTTTAGAAATTTACCATTTAGAAACAAGATACATTAGCAAAGTAATCTAAATACAAAAAGTACAAATATATTATGAAGTAGAAATATATTTAGGATTTTTTAGTTTTATATTTTTATACAAATATTTTTTAAACGCATATTACATTTTATTGCTATATTGTATTTTGTTTTATTATTACAGTATTAATAATATGTGTAATCATTTATATACTGAAATAATGTTTGTGAATGATTCATCAGTGCATGTTATTCCTATAAGAAAAAAAGGTTTTGTATTTTAATCAAAACGTGATAACATGCTCCACCTAACTTTAATCGCAAATCCTTCAAATGGTTATATATATTATATATATATAAAAGCATGGAACAAATAACAGTTTTAATGCCAATAATTTAGACAAACCAATAGTTAAGACAAAAGACAAAAGCAGAGATGTTGAGAGAAAACTGAAGACTTTATTGGACACTAAATGTACAGAGAGATAAGGAGTCAAAAGGTGGCAGCAGAGAGCAAAGGTTCAGGTTTCTGCTTCCATTTACGTGACACACAAGATCAAACATCTCCAGCTTTGAGTCCCTCTCATAGACTGTCCGTCTGCAGGTGTTGCCTTCAATACGGCGGTTCCCGTCTTTTTAAGACGAGTCGTCTGAATTCTGGCTTTGAGAATGTGTCGAGTAAAGCGTGGGATTTTGGGGTCAGTCTGATTGGAGCAGCGCGCGGGAGCCCTTTCCGTGCAGGTTCGATCCGGTGCAAGTAATTTAAGCTTTAAAGGAGTTCACTTTCAGAATGAAAATTCTGTGATCATTTACTCACCCTCCACTTGTTCCAATCCTGTATGAGTTTCTTTCTTCTGTTGAACACAAACGAAGATATTTTGGAAAAATGTTGGTATCCGAACAGTTAATGAGCACCATTGACTTCCACAGTATTTTTTTTTCCTACTATGGTAGTCAATGGTGCAAACCAACTGTTTGGATACCAACATTCTTCAAAATATCTTCCTTTGTGTTCAACAGTCAACAAATGATGACAGAATTTTCATTCTGGAAGTGAACTACTCCTTTAAAATGTGTGTGGAATCGTCTGTGGTAATTCAAGGCACTGGACTAAACAGGTTCAATATGGTTATAGGTTCCTTTCAGGACTGAGGTAATGAATTTTACCCAAAGAGAGACGCCAACCTGTTTCCCACAATCTCACTGCTGTGTCCTTCCCTGGAAAACAGGGATTACTGCAAATATGAATTTATGAGATTATGGATATGGCCATTAGAATTACATCTAATGAATATTAGATGATCTGTCTATTGCCAAACAGTCTAAAGTGAGTTGTTTGTGGTCTAATGCTGCCTTTCACGTGCTGTCGGAAATTTCCTGCTTTCCATTTCTGAAGTTCGTTAATAAACATCACGTTCAACTGCTTTGTTTTAAATAAATAAAAATGAATAGTATTCTCATTTAAGGAAAAATGTACTGAATATCAATTAATCAATGACCAACGGATTTTGAATACAATATAACGTCCCGTTCGTTTACAACCATATATTTCTATGGTATAGCTATTTATACGTCTGCAAAATATCTCTTCATCTGGAAAGCAGCTGTGTACAAACATCTGATAAACATCTTTAAGATATCAGTTTTGCACACATTCTGAATCGGCCCTCAAAATTATAGCAGTTTCCCAGTCATAGGCCTACAACTAGAGCAGCAGTTCATGTCCATTTTGTGCATATTCATTTTGATAGCATGTGAAGGAAGCATAAATGGTGGCCTAGGACTAAAACCTACACTGTAAAAAAATGACTGTGAATTTAACGGTAAAAGACTGTAAAAATGCTACAGTAAAAACCTGTTAAATGCTTAACGGTAAATTCCCCTACTATATATGGTGAAAAACTGTATTGGACATTACATGTAATTTTACGGTAGTATACCGTTTTTGGAAGTGAAAAAGACTGTATAATTTTCAGTGAATAACCGTAAATTTACATTCCCAGAACTCCCTGCGTTACATTTCAAATTTGATGTTTTTTTGTTGAACCACAGCTGCCGTTTTTTTACCGTAAATTTTACAGATTTTTTTTTTACAGTGTATTTAAACTGTAATCATTTTTCCACTTAGCAAGGAGAGGAACACATCGCTGAAACGCTGAGAACTGGGCTGGGTCTTCCTCACGCCCTCAGGGAAGCATTTTTGGGGGTCATTATTCACGAGAAGCGGTTTGGCTTAATCCTGGATTTATTTCAATTTTGTACAGATAGAAACAGTCTACACAGGGCTTTATACACGCGTCTCACATCTGCATTTAGACCACAAACAGACATGAGGGACAATCAAGGGAAATTAAAAGAAACAATAAAAATCAGCATCATCTCTGCCCCATCAAACCTCAATAATACAAATCTGTGCACATCTCAACTGGGACAGTCGAGGACTTTTATGGTCAACAATGAAGTCACCAGCGCATCAAACGCAACTTCTGACCTGAGATCTGCCATCCTGGCTTTAAACCCTGCAACTTTTTTTATAGAATAAACAGAAAAAAAAAACTGATCTCAGATCAGAAAAACTTTTTCAGGACCTTACGAGACCAACCCAGTGACTCCATTGACAACAAGACTTTTTTTTAACATTCAACCAAGCAAAAGCTCTCAGAGCTGCCGCACTAAACATTCAATATCAACACTCTGCTGTGAAAAAGACTCAATTATATAGACTAAAAAAGCATAGCCTTTAGATTTCCATTCAAAGAACCAATAGCAATACTGTAAAATGCTCTGCAATGAAACTTATTACACTGCATCAAGAGTGTGAGTTAGATTGAGGAATTGCAGCTCCTTCCTATAGGGAAAAAACCACTGATGTACAGAACACAGCAATATATATATATTTAATCTTTATTATGAGTTATGGTTTGAGGTCCGGCTGCTAGCGTTTCCTGAGACAGAATACTAAAGGCTATTTGAATACAAGGGTGCAGAAGGTTTTTAATGCCCAAAATAGAGGACATGATGGCGGGTTTCCATTTACTCCCCGTTTTATGCTTCATAATATATCAAAACACTATGTCACTTAGCTCTTTATAATAGATATATATGTATGCCATCATATATTTCTCTTGCACTACTCTGGATTTGTTGTGCCTTGAAAATATTCAGACAGTATTATATAGGAAAAATACTGTACAAAAAGCAACTTATAGAATAGATTTCATATATATATATATATATATATATATATATATATAAACATTAAAACTCTGTTTTATTAATACATCTGTGTTCTGTATCTTTTGGTCTGCACTAAACAAACTGATTGGGTTTCAACCACAGTATTTGAGACAACACCGTCCTGCTCAACGAACGCCTCAAAACCTCTTAAAACATTCATTACAGTCATACAGACGACAGACACGCCAAGCTACAAAACAAAAAGAAAGAAAACAAATCACTACAAATATCTGTTTGTACTGACTTAAAAACAAATGAAAATTCTAAAACATGCTCTGGGTGTATATATAATAAAACTAAAAAAAGAGGATAGAATAATCATCTATCCTAAAAAAAAGAAAAGACTCATTTACAATTAGCTTTAGGCTGCAACTCTAAAACAATAATCATGCTGAAATATCCAATAAAACAATAAACGATTAGGAAAAATTACTATACAGCCATAACAGTAAGAACAGCTATAACAATAGTAGTAATTAACAGCTGAATGTTTTTTTGAAAAAAAATCTTCCATTCAAAAAAAAAAAAGAGAGAAAGAAAAAAAAGTCCATAAATATATCAGGCAGATTATAGTGTAGGTAGAAACATTGCACCAGATCAGATTGTGAAACACGCATTAGTGCAGGGAGTTAGAGCGAGAGGGAGAGACAGACAAATATGGATTCAGCATTTTTGGAGGGAAAGTTTCCGCACTACAGCAGAAATGATGGTGCTATGAAACTTTAGCTTACATTTCATGTGTTTTGCCCACTGAGGAGATTCAGTCTTATTGCTCTATGGACAATGCAGGAAAGACGCAAAAAACTACGCTGGTGTTGGTTTAAAAGTAATGATGAAATCAAACAGACAAAGCACACAGAATAGGAAAAGAACAAAACAAATATTGTGTTCTGGCGCTAGCTAGTGTTATACACACTTCACAGAACGAAAGGTGTCGGTGCGTTACAGCTATTCAACTAAAATACATTAATATACACAATAAGAAGCTCTAGCAACAAGAAGTGGGCGGGGCTTCTGAGAAGAGGTGGGTGGGCCGAGCGGATGATTGACAGACAGGAGGGTGAGCGGCAAGGAACATATTTATCAGTCCGTGTTACAGGTGTATAAAACCCTCGAGAGAAAAACATTTCCAGACAAATGATTCATCGTTGGTGAAAGAATACACAGACGAATGAAACAAATAAAAGGAAAGAGAGAGAAGTCAATGTGTGAAACTACACAAGAGGAAAAAGACATAAATGAAATACAAAATCAACTAAAGAACGCAAACTGGGTTTGTAAAGAGAAAAGTGAAAAGAGAAATGTGAAAAAAGGGGAGGAGAATTTGCCGCAGAAGTCCCTGGGGGGGCGGGGTTTGTGTGAGGTGGGAGGGGCTCACAGAGGGCCGTGCCGCGCCTCGTATTTGGCCAGAACGTTCTTACAGCGGCCGAGTTCCTTCCGCAGGTCGGCCACTTCCTGTCTGAGCGCCGCGTTCTCTTTCTCCAGGAATCCCGCGCGGATGGCGATCTGGTTCTCTTTCAGCCGGCGAGCATCACGGGAGCGTTTGGCCGCGAAGTTGTTCTTTCTGCGCCGTGACCAG